TTATTTGTTTTTATCACATTTATTAAGTCTTTAATCTGTTCATGAAAATAGTGTTAATAGTTAAATCGCATAATGTCACATTACATCTTTTTCACTATTAATTATTATTATTATTACTATTAAAAAGACTGCATTGATCTAAAATAAAATTATTATTATACTTTCTTTATTTAATAAATTTTATTGTATTTACGTTGCAAAATGTATGTTACCCGCTTAAAGACAAATTGGTTAAGAAATAATTTTTGTTAAAATTAGTCGAATAGGAGTTACGGGCCAAAAACTGTAAATTCTCTACGCTGTGTTTTAAAAATTATGCTTTCTAACTCATCCTATTCTATTCTATTATTTTGTCCTATACTTTAATCTAGTAATCCTTGCTCCTTTTCTGTAATATATAGTTATAGTAATATTATATAAAGAGTGAATGTTAAATACAACCAATTGCAATTTCAACAAGTGTCTTGACGGAAGAAATGTGTAAGAAGTGGTAAACCCACAGAAGTCGTAATAATATTGTCTTATTATTACGATTTCTGTGGGTAAACCTAATAACAATATATATTATATATATAATATATATTGTTAATGTTGTAACTGTTGTGTAACAATATATATTATATATATAACAATATATATATATATATATATATATATATATATATATATATATATATATATATATATATCATATGTAACTATCGTATCAATTATTATTATTATTTATTGATTTATTTTATTTTTATTTATTGTTTTATTTTATATAATTTCCGTAACATTGTGTATATTATTTATTTTTTGTAGTACTAATGTATGCACTAAGTTTGCAATTTAAATATAATTTCCTTTATGGGTCTACTGGAAGATATTTCAGCGAATTTGGAATAAGTAGAACCTTTGTACGTAATTACTATAAGACTGCTTCTGTACCTTAATGTGTGTACATAAAATAAATTAAAAAAAAAAACAAACACATTGAACAAATAGTGAGATTAAAACATACGTGTTCGGTCTCATTCTAATTTCCCTACGAACGGGAAAGATCTACTGCTAATATTTTTAGAGAGGTCAGATGGCACCTCACGGCCCCAATAAGGAAATTTAAGTCTTTGGTAAAAGATACACGAAATGTTATTGAATACATACTATTGTCTTAAATGAATAGCAGATATTTGGTTTTTTGTACGGTTGTATTATTTAAAGTGGTGACTTAGTCGTCATTCCGCTTGAAGTCGGTGAGTGTCGGTCCGCTTGAAGATAAAAATTTAACAAAACCTTTACTGTTACTGTTACACCCAAGTCCACTGCTGCGCATAGGCATCCCTATAGATTGCCTCACAAGGATATTTGCCATAGTTGCCACGCTTGGCAAGTGGGTTGGCAGCCGCAATTTTTATTAAAATTTCTTTGGCACGTTGGGCACTTTTGGGATGGGGAAAAAGCACTGAACTCGCATGACCGTGACGATCTATTACATATATACAGCAGTTATATTAGTAGTATAGTTGTAGCACGAATGGGTCGGCTCGACCGGGAAAGGACCACGCTCTCATAGAATACCAGCATAAAATAGTAGCTTAATGCTGCTGTGTTTCGTATGGTGAGTGTAAAGAACCGGAAACCCTTTTTACTGGTAATGAGGCATTCCATCTTAGTCCTCACGGGTGACAACGCATCTGCATTTTGATTTGTAATCGAGGATAGATGTAGATATCTATGGACCGCAACAACCACTTACCATCAGGTGGACTGTGTGCTCGTTTGTCACCCTGTCCTATAAAAAATTATTATAACATATAGCTCTTTCGGGATGGGGAAAAGCACTGAACTCGCGTGACCATCATGCTCAGATACATATTTATAGATATTTTTTAAACCCAAAAAAAATGTTTACAAGTTTGTGAAGCTAAGAAGTTTTCGCTTCTGACGTGTAGTCCTACGACTGACAGTTTGTTTTTTATTTTTAGGTGTTATTAGGAAGACACCGCTGCCCATCTCCTGATTGGTTTCCCTCAGTCGCCTCTTACGACATATGATCTAATGGATGCTCCCCATTACAAGTCTGTAGAACTTAGGATCGGTGATACTGCTTTGTGGTATTCCTTGGTGAAAGCCTATGTTCAGCGGTAGATTTGCGATGGACTGTAATGATGAGGAGTTTTCTTACTCATCCAATAACATCTTAAACTTTTTTACAAATTTTTTCACCGATAGTATGCAGTGAGGTTAATATTTCGAAAAAAAAATTCATTGTTTTCACGAAAAAGCAGTGTAATTTTATTATCAAATGTACTATGTATGGCGGGGAGGATCTTAATTCTTGAACATGTTCCCAGACTGTAGACTTCTCGGAGCATCAGTGCTTTACGTCAGTTATATGTTCTATTACGCGGGTTTTGTAGATATTTTTGTTTGTCCTATGTAAGGTTAGACCACATTCACATCTAAGTTTGTACACTCCTGCATCTTGTAGAGGGATACTGCACTGATGGTGGTAAAAATTAACTAATCATCCTCGGCGGCTCTTTGTAGGTTTCAATGGATGCTGGCTTCAAGATGTGGCCTTTGCCTATGACTCCTTTGACGTATGGTAGCACAGCAGGCAAACGCCAGACCGTGGCCGGCTTCACTCGGTCACTGACCCAAAGCTTGTTGTCTTGCAGTACTTGCTTGACGTGTTGAAACTCGGCTGCCAGATGTTTACTATCACAGATCACTTGTGCTCTCTGAAACAAAGATTATCCCACGGTACCTAACTGTGATGGATGGTGGTGAGATTAACCATTTAAATATAGGTTGATATTTTTCCTATACTATCAATTGTGTTTTCAGGATTTCGGATGACTAAAACATCTAGAATAGCTGAAGAATTATTTGCTTCTAACTTCACAATGGAATTAGAAGCATATAATTCCATAGCTCTCACAGCGTATAACACCTCAATCCCTCGTGATGTGAAAACGCCGAGAATTAAAAAGATAAAATAAGTAAAATTAGTTTCATTTAATGTGTAGTGTTTACGTAAATATAAAAAATCATCATGTTAATCTTGATAAGTATACAAACATAAAAATTTAATCAATTGCAGTAAAATTTTGACCACTATGTGACCTCTGGTATATATATTATTACATAACTTAAAAACTGGCCAATAACGGCCTTGGTTAAATCAAGGCCATTATTGGTCGCTATCTTAATATATATAAATTACGTGTCACGTTATTTGTCCGCGAAACTTGAGAGATAGGATAGTGTTTTTTACCCATGAGTGACCCACAATTTTTTTGCGATAATAAGGATTTTACTATGGCATGACAAAGTCGAAAAGCGCAGAACAACGTCTGCCTGGCAAGCTAGTTTTATATAGATAATTGAATGTTTATAAAATTTATTGATATAATTTATATGCTAATAATTTCTCATTGCATCACGATATTACGTCTTAATGCTTAGTAGGTACCTATATTAAACTTTTGAACCTTATTGTCCGACTAAAATAGCGTTTAATTTCTTATCTTAGAATAAAAACATATTTAATAATAAGGTGACATTGAATGTCACCTTATTGTTAAATATGTTACTCTGGCGTCATGTCTATCTTCTCTTTTTCGTGGACTTACTTTATTTTCTTCACTAAATTGCAACAACTATTTTGTAAGTCTTGAAATAAGAACATTATGCTTTTGTAGTTAAAATATATTTAAATTTAATAAATACATACGGAAATATAATTGGGAAATTAAAGTGCCATAGATAAATGTAAATCAGTAGCCAGTAGGCATTGGCATCTGACCAATGGATATACGAGTCAGTAGTAGGTCCGAACAATAACAATATGGGCCGACATTCACTATTGATTTTAATAAAAATTTCACTATTTGACACTTATGAGTTGATTAAGGCATTAAAAAAATGTCGTCTAAGACTTCAACCACCTATATTTCCTCTTAGAGATGAAATTATTTCTCAAATTTTAATGATATAATGTATTTCATTTTAAAAAAAACATCCCTTTGGCTCTTAATTTAGGGGACTCAAAACGGTTGTGACAATTTGTTTTTTTTTTAATATGTTAATTTATAATGAATATACAAATAGGACATTTTTCAAAACGACAGATTTTATGGCGTTTATTTGTAACTGACTCTCCTCCCATGATCACGGGAAACATAGGAAATTAAAAAAATAAGTTAACAACAAATGCGATAAAATCTTGAAATTTTGAAATGAGGTCCTCCCAATCTGTAGTATAGAAATAAATTAATATCGAAACGCTTTAATGCCATTGACTTATATATTACTAGTGTATAACCTAAACGCTTACATTACAATCTAATTTTCGTTTCATATTAGTAAACGCAACGATATCGTCAAACGAGGGTTGCAAAGCGTTTCCTTCAGTTTTAATTGTTTTTACTCAAGATGATGGTGTTACTACAACATTAGTCTATAAAATCATTCATAAGTATATATTTCCGCGGTGGCAAGGCAAAGATGCAATGAAACCGCTAGTGGAATTTCCTTAGCTGATCGACGAATGATTCGTGGAGCCGACAACTCAGTCATTTGTGTACCTTCGCATCGACCGCGTCAACCGGACAAAGAGGTATGTGCGTAACAAAAACAATCCGCATTTAATCGTTTTTTAATGATAACTGGAAAATATTATTAATTAAACTATCGTTACATTTCAATGTTGCAACCGATTATTATATATTAATTTTGGGTCAACTTGACAAGTTGATAAGCTTCGTTTGTTGGTGCGATAATAATATAATAATGTTCGGCTTTTCAAGTTGCTCCTAGTGATACGTGACGAAATAATGCGTTTTATCAATTATAAAATAGTAAGTTCTTGTTCGATTAGCACGTGTGTTAAATAATCTAAAATCTATTGATTTTGGTAAAAGTAGTAAAAGACACTCACTTTATATTTGTGACGGATACGTGGTAAACTTATTTAAAATTAATATCTAGTTTCGATAGTGTAAATAACAGCAATGTCCTTTAACAAAATAAAACCATTTCAAACGAAGTCACTTTTGGATTATAAGGGAAAAGTACCTCCAGATGATTTTCCATTACCAAATTCTGCAACTTTTGTAATGTGTAAACCAAACAGTGATAGTGATGCTTCAACTTCATCTGTGTTTCTAGCTGAAACAAAATGGGCTTCAAATGAAGACAATGTTGTTTTAGGACTAAACGAAAGGGTCGGGTTAGAAACCAAGTCATTTGCAAATGAAAATAATATTGAATTAGTGAATGATACGGCTGACAGTGACATTGTGATAAACCCAAAACTACAGGCGACGGTTTCCAATGGTCAGCCTACACAATCACAATCTGAGCAAAGACCGTGAGTACACTGACTCATGATGTTTTCCCCACTTTTATGCCATATATCTATGCAGTCAAGGACAATTTTAAGATTAATATATCTATTTTAAGTTCAATAAGCGTCACGAATAAAAGTTAAAGTTTAAAAGTTACAGCTTATATACGTCCCACTCCTGGGCACAGGCCTCCGCTCATTTCTGGGTTTTAGGGTTTTAGGGCAAGGAATTCTCCGCCGCACTGCCCCAATGCCTGTTAGCGAACTTCACATGTCTTCGAATTTTTTTTTCTTATTTGTCAGACATGCAGGCTTCCTCACGATGTTTTCCTTCACCATCGAGCACGTGGTAAATCAGCACTTAAAATTAAAATTAACAATTTCATTGGTGCCGGCGGGGATCGAACCCGGTTTGCTCGCGTAGGTACTGTGAAATTTACAGCGAGCGCAAAACATCTGAGCTACCACGGCTCATAAGCATCACGAATATAAAAATCATTTTTCTAGGACTATTTTTTTGTGTTCTTTGTGCTTATTGTGGTGTAAATTGTAACATAACGTACCCTTTTGTAACGTTTAGTTTTTATAAAGTATTTATTTAAGATAATATAAAATATTATCTTAAAAATATTATCTTAAATTTGGATCAAAAATTAACATTTAAATCTCATATTGATAAAATAGTTAGCAAGTCATATAAGATGCTTGGATTTGTCTTACGAATTACTAAAGACTTTAAAAATAACCCCAATTATTTTGTATAACTCGTTGGTCCGCTCAATATTAGAATATTGTTCAACAGTTTGAAATCCTCAATATAATATTTATATAGAGTCAATTGAAAAGATCCACAATAATTTTCTGAAGCATATCCAATTTAGATTAGCCGGCGATGCCTCTATTTTGTGTAGACTAACCTTTGACCTAAAATCTCGCCGTAACGTCAGGAATCAGATGTTTTTATATAAAATCATTCATAATAGGGTCAACTCTATACCACTTCTAAATGAAATAAGTTTCAGATGCCAAAGGATAAGTGCTAGAAAGAAACTTTTATTTTGTACTTCCACTATGCGCACAAAATATGGCAAGAACAATTTTATAACTCGTGCATGTAATTCGTATAATAAAAACTTTTCACATGTAGATATATTTTCTCTGTCATATGGACAGTTTAAGAATGAAATTGAAGTTGTAATGGATAATAGTTAAATTAATAGCTAAATTATCATTTCACTTAAATATCACACATTACTTTGACTTAACTTCGCTTTATTTTTTGCACACCTAAGTTTGTCATGGTGTTCGCTTGTTGTCGATGCGTTACTTAACATAAAATAAATAAAAAATAAAAAATTATGTTTCGGTAATTTGACAATATACCTAAGTATATCGCGAATTTTAAAAAGGCATTATTTTATTATCGACTAGCTGTGCCCGCGATTTCGTGCGCCGAGAATCATTTTTAATAATTTATTATTATACTTTCCTACTTAAATCGGATTTGGTTCACAATTTCATGGGGTTTAATTTTTTTTGCGTTGATCTCTTACTCTTTCTCTAAAATAAAAGTAGCCCGTTATAACAAACAGAAACACACAGACCAAATTTTAAAAATTATTTTTTTGATCTAAGTATCGTATATACTTTAATTATTTATTTAATTATTTAGTTATTTAATTATATATAATTATTTAGTTATATAGTTATTTGTTTAACAAATGGCGATATGGTAATTAACAAATTAAATAACAAATTTAATTAACAATAATTAACAAAATTAATTGAAAATGTTTATTTTGACATAACAAACAGACGACTTCAATTTTATTTATTTGTAGGTATATAATCTATACAGATAACAGATATATATTACCCAGACCTGCTACAAAAAAGGTCTAAGTAATACCATAACATTGAGGTACTTTCGATTTACGTCAGTCACATATCCTGCTATCGTTGAAAGGTTAAATGGCTCACAATTTGTTAAAGGCGTAGCTTCAGAATTTTACTTGTATTTTAAATACTAAACGATCCGAACTTGCCTTCTCATCTTAAGCATAACTTTAAATAGTTTTTATTCAAGCCATAATGAAGTTAAACTGTATGAGGATTTAAAGTCAAATCTTTATTCAAGCTCGTATGAACGTCAGAATCTACGCTGGTTCGCCAAAACAAGACCTTCTCAGAGGCGAACCGGCATGAACCTCGGAGTCTTTCTTTTTCGGACCATGTTCCAATTTTATTTCTAATTAGCGACCTACCCCGACATTACCTGGATGGGATCTATTGATGTGGCGTTATTTAGATTTGAGATAATCAAATACATTTTATCAAATTTTCGTTGAATCGGATTTAAAAAAAAACTTGAAACTTGCTCTCTATTTGTTCATAAAGTTTCATTACATTCGTTTCAGCTATTTGGAAGTTTAGCCCGTATAGACAGATATCAAGAGAGACACAAAAAAATTAAAATGTTTATTTAAATTTTTTGTTGTCTGTCTGTTGACGTAAAATGTTTATTTTTAATATTTGTCTGAATACCATGGAAATAATCCCATGAGCTTAATAGCAGCAAGTTATTTTAATATAACAGACGAACACTTCAGTTTTATAATATGTATAGATTACAAGTTAAAGTTAAATATTAAAACGTCGAAAATTAATAACCATTTATTTTGTTATTAATATTTCAAAGTGTCAGTTTTAACAAAATGATATCAGTAGCAAAGAAATTGTAAGTGCATAGTAATAGTTATTTCCACACTTTAACATATTAATCAATGTTGATCTATTTTATAGTAGGTAGGCGTTTTGTAACAAAAAACATTTAACAAATTTTTTAAAGTTTGTATCCGGTTGTTGCACTATATTTTTAGGGATTTTATTGTCTGAGAATTTTTCAGGTGAACTTTCACGGTACAGTACTTTTGGAATACCCTATGATGTAAAGACTGCAACAACAAAAACTCTTTACAATATCATTTATATGAATATAAGAAGGATATATTAAATTATTCAGAGTTTTATATAGATTTTTATAAATAAAAGTTGTTTACCTTTAGACATAAATTTAATAAATAAAATTGTATTTTAAAAATTATATATTAATTTTTTTATATACTTGCTAGAGCCACACTGCACCTATTATGGTTGTAGCATGAATGGGTCAGCTCGACAGGGGTAGGACCATGCTCTTACAGAATACCAGCGTAAAATAGCAGTTTAACGCTGCTGTGTTTCGTATGGTGAATGTAGAGAACCGATGACCCGTTTTATTGGAATCGAGGCATTTCATCTTAGTCCTCAAGGGTAACAACGCAGCTGCATTTTGATTCTTAATTTAGGTTAAATAAAGATGTCTATGAGCCACACCATCCACTTACCATCAGGTGGACTGTTCGCTTGTTTGTCACCCTTATCCTATAAAAAAATAGGCAGAGAATGCCACATTTCATTAAATCCGCCATATGTACCTTTAGTTAAATAAACAAGTGATTTTTTTTAAATTTGTACTTTTTGATTCTGAGCTGTGTTCAAAATTGTCAAGTCTCTAGCCCATCGGAAAGTGTTCGAAATTTGATTTGCAAGATTCCACCCGGAGCGCCATACAAACAAAAAAGTCACTTAACAGAACCGTGATAATAAATACTTTTTCTGAAAAATATCTTTTTGACGATCAAATAATTTCAATACGATGCTCTGAGTTTTAAACCATTATGTTTGTACTTCAAATCTTCTTATACGTGCTTAATCTTAAAATGATTACTTATCTTTGAGCGATATTTATCTATAAATTTATATTATTACGAAACTCCAGTCTTTGTTTGCTTTACTCTACTAACCATCCGGACGTATTAACCAGGTAATTATAGTCTATAGGTTTCGTATAAAACCATTATATTTAAATTTTCGAAATACACATAAAATGATGCCGTAATGTGGTTATGATATTAACGTATAGGTATTAATAATATAATGCCTCCTTTTTGAAGCTCGACCATAATCTTTTTATTTTTATGTTAGATACTACGAGCCAGCCCGGTAAACGTTGCTCTGCACTTTCCTGTATATATTATTTATTTATTGTCTTTGTCTGTTAAAATTTCTAAATTTATGTGTCTTTTGGTCCGAATACAAACAGAGCGTATTCAAGGCAAGAGTGAAATAAGCTGTTGGTGCCATCTAGGGTTTCATCATTACTTACCATACCACCAGGTGTGATTGTGGTCAAGCAGTAACTTATAATAAGTAACAAAATGCCGAAGTCAGAGACAATGTTTCATTAATATATGGTTTTATTTACTAACGGACTTGCTCATAAAATCAATGTCAATTAAGAAATACATAAAGTTATTCTCGCTCTCTCGCTCTCTCTCTCTCTCTCTCTCTCTCTCTCTCTCTCTCTCTTCAAAAAATGGCATTAGAAAGATACATTAAATGCAAATAATATTCAATTTATTAATTAATTCCGTGGTCAAAGATAATGCACCGTCATATCGTTGTCACATGCTTCTAACAAGGGTTTGCTCTCGGGTAGATAGTAACCCCACAAATAGAATTGGATACGTTCAAACGATAGTTTTTGTAAGAGATAACGGTGATAACCATAATTTTTGTTTTGAGATAACAGACGTATGTTATATCCCAGATTATTTGCTTGTTTTAGTAAGTAGCAGCTATAACAGTAGTGTAATGGATATATCGACTGCCTCGTTGGTCCAGTGGTGGTAGTAGTGCGACCGCTGATCATGAGGTCCTGGGTTCGAATCCCGGGTCGCGCCAAAAAATTAATTATTGAGTTTTTCCTTCAAGAAATTCTCAACAGTTGCCCGGAGTCAGGAAGTTGGCGGTGTCTCACCCCCGTGTCTCGGAAAGCACGTAAAGTCGTTGGTCCTGCGCCTGATCTCTCTCCGGTCGTGTCGGTTTACCGTCTTATCGGATTATGAGAGTGAGGGGGACAGAGAGTGCACCTGTGCTTGGTGCATACATTTGGGCACTATAATCCTGTAATGCGCCGATGGCTAG